GCATGCACAGCGCGCGGCTGGACGGCCTCCTGGGCCAGCTCCGCTGGGAACTGGTGAGGCTGGGAAGCGCTGTGACCCTTAAGGACGCGTGTGGGGTGCGTGGCTGCCATCGGCCCGAACGACACTCGGGTGGGGGGCCGTCCCCAGTGCTCGCCCAAGGCGGGATGGGGGTGGAGCGGCCCAGATGGCCCGCGTCGGATTTCGGACGGTTGGGAGCCGCGCTGGGCATCAAGTAACAGCCACCCAGCTGGCCGAGCTGCCGGGGCTTCGGAGGGAGCTGGGGGGAGGGGGGAACCTCTTTTGGGATGGAACTGAGACTTCGAGGGACGAAAGGGGTGCTGGCGCTGCTGGGGTGCCCCCTATCCCAGGTTTGCCGGAACCTCCTTCCTCTCCCCCCTTCCTTCCCCCCCTCGCCTGGCAAGTGCTCTATCGCTCTGGGGAGCTGAATCCCTCAGGGGGCAAGGGATGCTGCACCCCAGCCCCCAGCCCTGAGCAGCACCTACTTCCCGATTCCGCCCGCAACCCTGCCTCCCGCCCCGGTGGCGGTGGCGGGTGCTGACTTGCCCAGCTCTGCGTGCTGCAGCCTGCCAGACTGCCACCAGGTCGGCTTATGGGAGCCACACGAGCTTCGTGTGCCAGCGCCCCCATGCCCTGTGCCCAACAGAGGCCTTGCTGTCCAGCCCTCCCGGGCCTTCTGTTCTGGGGTTGGCCTGGCCAGGCAGGGAGGGTGACCGGCACTGCCCCTCCGACTTCTGCCCTCTTCCTCCACAGCCGTGCGGCCGGGACACAGGCTCACCCCCCATGCCTGGCCCCCTCCCGCCACCCCGCAAACCAGCCCCAGGCGTCCGCCACCGGCTCAGGGCCTCAGATGCCTTGGAAGAGGACCCCGTGTGCTGTGTGGAGGAAGAGCTGGAAGAAGGTGTGGTGACAGGAGACAGGAGTGTCGCCTTGGAGGGCCCTAGGGAGCACACCTTGGACTGGGACTCGGGCTTCTCTGAGGTGTCAGGTAGCACATGGAGAGAGGAAGAGCTGCCTGCAGTCCAGCATCCGGCACCCCCAGCATGGCGCCCCCACAGACAGCACCTCTCAGCCAGTGGCGTCCCCCTGGACAGCGGAGCCCCAGCGGCCAGGGCACCTCCTGCTCACCGCCCACGGCCCAAGTCCACCCCAGATGCCTGCCTGGAGCATTGGCGGGGCCTGGAAGCTGAGGACTGGACAGCAGCCTTGCTGAGCAGAGGTCGAAGTCGCCAGCCCCTGGTGCTGGGGGACAACTGCTTCGCTGACTTGGTGCACAACTGGATGGAGCTGCCCGAGGCAGCAGGTGAGGGGGACAGTGTGAGTGGGCCCCGTGTCCGTGCTCGGCCCCCCCAGTTCCTGCTTGGCCTCTCTGAGCAGCTGCGGCGCCAGCTGGCCAGGGCCCGCCGGGCAGCCATGGCAGGAAAACGACTGTCATGCCCACCTCGAGCGGAACCCGAACTGCCTGCAGACGTCTCACGCTTTGCAGCCCTTATGAGCTGCCGCAGCCGGCAGCCCATCATCTGTAATGAGGTTGTCAGCTACCTCTGACCCTATCCTCAGCCTGGGACAATAAAGGCCTTTCTCTGGACTGTCCTTGGTTCCATACGCCTGAGTCCCTGGAAGGCAGCTCCAGCCCTTGGGGGCACAGCCCAGGCAGGCGAATGTAAAAAGCCTTTTCCCTCCTTCCAGGGCTTTCCTGTGTGCCCTCGTTACCAACCAGTGTCCCGTCATCCAGCCTCTGCTTACGCCTTCCTTCAACAAGCATTTATTGAGTGCCTACTGTGGGCTCCGGATGCAGAGCTTGGTAGAGGTGGTGGAGCTGCTGCCTGTCACAGCTTGTAGTGCAGGGGCGGGAAGGCAGTGTCATCGTCTTCACCCTCACAGCTGAGCTCCAGCACCAGCACCCGCTGCCCAGGCTCAGGCACCTGCTTGCCTCTCACCCGCTGCACCAGTTCTGTCACCCTGGTGGCATGGGGGGGAGGGGTAGTTGAGCAGTGGCAGGCAGAGAGTGACCATGGGCTAGGGGTGCTGATGGGCCATAAGGAGCCTGAGCCAGGAGCAGGAGCAGCTCAAGACAGGAAACATCTGAAACTATTTTCGGAGCAGCTGGCGGGGCAGGCAGGAGGCAGGAAAGGGCTAGTCCCCCGGGAGTGGGCTATGAAGGGGGGCGCTGAGCAGGGTGTGGAGGGGCTGGTGGGGCTGGCCAAGCAGGCAGCTTCTGGAGGCCCCTCCTCAGGCTCTGGGCCCTCGCCCCACCCCCAGCCCATTTGCTGACTCCATTTGGCAAAAGGAAGGTGTGAGGGGTGCAAATAGGGCTGGGAAGAGGAAAGGCTTCGGGTCCCCCACCTCCCACCTCCAGGGACAGAACAAAGCCTGGCTGAAGCCCGGTGTGGCTCACCTGAGGGGCAGGTACTGGGCCTGCTTTTCAGGTGACCATCCTGCCGAGTAGAGCAGGGCCTTGCCCTGCAGCAGCATCTTCACCCTCAGCCCATGTTGTTCCTAGAAAGAGACAGGTCAGGTGCCAGCTGGGTCAGGCTGGGCCAGGCCTGGGGGTAGGGAAGAAAAAGGCGCACCTGGAGATGGTCCAGGAGTGACCTCAGGGTCCTCTCGGGCTGCCCAGCAGGCACCGTCAGGCGGCTCCAACAGGTCCAGGTCAGGCCATGGAACTGGGGGGAGCAGTGGGGAGGAGTGAGAAGCTTCCCACATACACCCTCTCCCTACCCTAGCTACCAGCAGCCAATGGCCCCTTCCCTGGAGGAGGAGCTGGACCAGAGGCAGGAAGCAGAAGCCAGGGGGTGGGGGTGGAAGGTGGGATCTGGGCCCAGAGTCTCAGCACCCTCCCAGCCCATGCTGGGGCCAGCACAGGAAACGGGGCTATGGGGCCCCCACACAGGGAAACGAGTGATCCATCACACAGGCTGGTGTGTGTAGGAGGGGAGGGGGGCAGGGCGGCGCTTCCTGAGGAAGTGGAGCAGGGCCCCTGGGTTGAAGTCTCCAATAAAGCAGCTTATTCCTCAGTGCAAGTCTGGGAGCTGGGAAAGGGGGTGTACATCCTGTCCCCTCATCCTGTACTGCCAGGGCCTTGGACTACTCATGGACACAAAGGGGCAAGGGGCACAGTGACCACTGGGACTCCACTGGCTGGCAACCCCAGCAGGGACACAGTCCACAGAGGCCTCTTCTTCCTGTCCCTTCTTTTCTTCCCTATTTCAAGAGTCTTGGGGTTCTAGCACCCTGAGCTGAGGGCAAAAGGGTGGCAGGCAGCCAGGGACCAGGACATGAGATCCTGCCAACCCCCCCAGACAATATAGTGGGGTCAAGCTGAGATGAGACCAGAGGTGAGATGGGGGGGACCTCCTCCTTCCCCCTCCACCATGGACAAAGGCAGCCTGTGTGCTAACTAGAGGCAGGGCCCTCACAAAGGGGCTCTGTGTGCTGTGCCCTGAGGGCCCCCAGGGCTACTAAGCAAAAGCCCAGTGCTAGCCCATGACCTCTCCCCTCTACCCTGGTGAGGACATTCTCTCCACCCCCTCTTCTGTGCCCCCAGGAAAAGCTGAGTACTGCAGAGGCTGGGCACACAGCCAGGGCCATTCACAGCCCCACACTCGCAGGAACATATGCACACAAGCCCAGGAACACCCACATGTGTACTCACATGCACACCCATGAGAGCCCACACTGAAGAAGAGCCCTGTGCTCCCATCTGGTGCACAGATGTACAAGCATGCTCCCTCCATGCCCACAGAACACAGGGCCAGGGAAGGCCAGGGATGCCTGGCCCCAGCACACTCACACCTGTGACATGAACGCATACATTCCCATGGGGCTGCAGACCCCACACCCGTGGCAACAGGGAGCTGAGTGCCCTTTAATTCAGTTTGGCTGAGGCAGGTCAGGATCCCCATGCCATGCTAGCTGAGGCTGATGTTAGGCTCTGTTTGGGGCTGGGGCCCTAGTCCCCCCTCCCCATCACCTCCCCCTCAGGGGCTCCTGGGGAGGAGGGGGCTGTGGGGGATGTCTGGCTCACTAATGAGTTAAAGCTGCAGCTCCCCCAGATCCAGGGCAGCAGAGCGTCGGGCGGTGGGGGTGGCTGATGGCTACTTCCTGTGTCTGACAGGTCCCAGTCTGGCTTCGGGGCAGCAGGAAGGGGGCTGAAGGCAGACTTAAGAGTCTGGGTCTTGCTGCAAACCAGAAGCTGGAGTAGGGCCTCTTTGGGTAGGCGCAGGGAAAACCCAGGTTTGGTGTGGGTGGGGTGTCGGGAGCTCACCGTCTGGATGGCTGGGGCAGGGGGCACATGGCGGCTGAAGAAGTTTTCAGCCAGACGCAGGTAGCTGCAGCGAAAGGCGCTGCGGGGCCGGGGCCCGCCCACCACCTTAAACAGCTCCAGGACCAGCAGGCCCGCCACAGCCGCTGTAGTGGTGGCAATGGCTGGGATAATCTGGCCCACGATTCGCTTGCTCTGCCAAGGACAGGAGACTGGGTGTGGGACCAGGGTGTAGGGCTAGGGTTTGACCCCCTCACCTCTATGCTGGAGTCCCAAGGGGCAGGGTTACCTGGGTGCGGTTGGCTGGTAGGATCCCATAGTTCTGAGCTCGAAGGCTTGCTGCTGCCGTCACAAAGTCTATGTGGAAGTTACTGTCATCATCCTATGAGATTCAAGTCACAATAGTGTTAACACTGCCCCGTGCCTCTCACCATGACTGACCATGTGCCGCTGCACAGGTCTTACAGCGGATACTCGCATCTCCCCGCTTATCAGCTGAGGGAAGGTGAGCTGCTCCTGGGGTCTTGCTGAGGGGAGAACTGGGGCCAACGGGCTCCAAAGCTACCTTCTTAGTTCCTGACCTTCCCCAACAATCTCCCCAGCCTAGCCCTTCTCCCCCACTTAGGCTCCCACCTTCTCAAACCTCAGGGGCTTCAGTGGGGAGCCCTCACTCCAGTCTTGCAGGGCGACACGCAGTCTCTCCACCCGCCCGGGGTCTGTCGGGGAAGGAGGCGTTGGGACAGCCCTTAGCCTCATCTCCTGCATTCTTCCTGGAGCCTGGGCCTCATCTAGGTCTCTGCCAAGCCCACGGTCTCCACCCCTTTCAGGAGGGCCTCTGGTTGATGCTACAATCTCCTCTCCAGCAGCCCCCACCCACCCAGTGTTCGTGTGCATGTGTGCGTGCTGTGTGCCTGTGTCTGCAAGCATGTGTGCGTGCTGTGTGACTGTGTCCTCATCTGGGGGCCATAGATAAGTGGTCGTCAGGACCCAATGGTTTGTGTTTTGTGTTAAAAACCTGCCAAGGGAATGAAGGTCGGGGTGGGGGTGGGGTGGGCATTAGGGAGAGGGCCTACTGAGGGCCCGAGGATGAGCTGAGAGGCAGTGAGTTGGCTGCAGGGCTCCCAGGCCCTCTCTTTCTCCTACACAGGCTGAGGGCAGTGGCAAGCCTTTGGGTGGCAGCATGGGTGTAGGTAGGGCCAGGGACCTCACCAAGCTCTGTGTCACTAGAAGCCAGGTCACCAGAAAAGGTGGGGTCCGAGTGCTGGAAGACAGGAAGTGGCAGCAACTCCAGCATTTCCCTGAGCGCAGGCTGGTCCTTTGAGCCAGGCAGCCCATGCATCTGGGCGTACAAGTTAGCTGCTGCCAGCACATAGAGGAGGTGCATGTCCTGCAGTCAGATCAAGAGCAGGGGCCGATGCACAGGTGTGCGCGAGCATGCGTGGGTGCACAGGGTAGAGGTCACCGCCCACTTGTGGATGCGTCTGAGTGCCTGCCTCTGCCTCACATGTGGATGCCCACATGTGCCCAAACCTGGCCCTATCTTGCAGCACCTGTGCAGAATGCAGAGGCGCCCACTTCTGCTCTCAGGGGCCACATTGCCATCTTGGGGCTCCCAAGGGACCCCACTCACTTGACTTGCGTCAAACTCCAAGGGCTGAGGACACTGTTTGGGACTTGACCAGAAAAGTGTTCCATCCTTAAGCACCTAAGGAAACGGATGCTGCTGGGCTCAGTTCAGTCACTCTGAGCCCTCAGCCTCCAGCACCCTAGCTACCCACTTTGTCAGGTGGGTAGTGCCTAAGCAGCTGCATGATGCCATCATGGAAGCACAGGTGCCAGTGGCCGAGGGCCCACACCACACAGTCTTGCCAGTTCCGTGGACGATGTCCCAGGACGCCCACCACCCCCTGCAGCCGGGGCAGCAAGTGTGGCCTGTCCCTGTCTGCCAGCGAAGTAAGTGCCCTGTGGAGAGGGAGGATGTCTGAGGTTAAGTCCCAAAGACTCTGGTGTTAGGGGCCCTAGGCTCACATCCTCCCTTGTTGGTGGCCTTACTGTTGGTGGCAGTTGATGGTCTCGGCAGACAGACAGAAGAGTCCCTCAAACTCATCCCGGGCCCACTGTGGGGAGGAAGAAACCATGAAGTGTCAGGTGGGGAACAGGTCTGCAGCTCAGGTCTGAGCCCTGGGGAGAGGGGTCCCCAGGGCGCTTCCCACCTGCAAGGTGTGCTCAGCCGTGGTGGGGAAGTGGTGCCCGGTGCAGACGGCCTGGGGGGCGCCCTCAGAAGCAGAAGCAGAGGCGGGGCCTCTGTAGCCCTCAGTCACGCCAGGCATGAACACCGAAGCGCTGCCCAGGGTGCCCTGCGTGCCCGCTTCTAGCAGTGGCTTCAGGTAGTGGGTGCAGCGGGCAGCCACATAATACCCTGGCAAGGAGGCAGAGGGTGAGGAGTGGGCCTGGCACAGCCTTGGATGAGGGGCTGAGTTCCCAGGTCAAGAACTCACGGGCCCGGAAAGTGTCCAGGGCGGCAGCCACGCCATCCACACGGGAGAAGAAGTCGTCCCCGTAGATGTGCTCTTTAGTGGGATCCAGAGGGTGGGTGAGCGGGGTCACCTGCAAGTCTGAGTTCAGGCGGCGAGCAGCCTCAGCAGCCACCTCTGCTTTGGGCCTCTGAGAGGGAAGCAGGAGGGCGCTGGGTGGGGGGCGGAGGGCATTGTGGAGGACAGTCCAGAACAGGGGGCGTTGGGGGGGCACTCACACCAATGTCCTGGGGCCTGAAGAGGAATTGACGGCTGAGGTTGGAGCGCTCAATGTGGTCCATGTCGACAACAGTCAGGCCCCCGCTGCCCCCAGCCCCCAGGCCCACGAGGGCGAAGCCTTTGAGCAGCTCGCAGCCAATAGCACCGGCACCCACCTGCAGCAGGAGCGGCCTTAGCCAGAGGGCCAGGCCTGGCCCTCCCACAAACACTCCCAACCTCGCCACGCAGCTCACCAGGAGGTAGCGCTGGTGGCTCAGCTTCTTCTGAAAAACAGTCCCAAACACCGCGATTTGCCCGTCATAGCGGCAGCCTCTCTAGGGGACACAGGCACCGGTCAGTGATGGCTGCTGGCCTGTGCCACGTGTCCCTCTTCCACTGGGTTTTCAAGGTCAGGACCTTGGGACCGGTCCTCCTGTTCCTCCCCTAGTCCTGAATTTGGATAAGGCGTGCACCCCACCGCAGGCTCTCACCGGTGCGCAGTCCTTAGGATTGGGGAGGAGATCCCTGTCTTCCGGGAGGCAATCGAGGGCATCAAAATACAGCCACTGGTCCAGGGGCATGAACTTCCTGCAGATTGCCTAGAAGCCAGCACTTTAGGGCCTCCTGCCACCTCCTAACCCCTCAGTCCCGGGCTGGGGGCTACACCCAGGCTGATGGAGCCTCTGGGGACACTGTCTGGAGTTGGGCACCCTCTGGCACCCACAGTGACCTCTGCATCCCTCCCTGCCTGTGCCTGCACCCACCTTCAGCACTTCTTGGGCAGCCACTGCACCCAGTATGGATGCCATGGGGCTCAAGACACCAGCACTACTCAGGGCAACTGTCCGCATGATAGCTTCATCCAGCTGCTCTTCCAATGGCTCTCCCTTTGTCCCCTTCAGTGGTTTCAGGCCCCGGGCCAGGCCAACCACCGTCTCTGCATCAGCCTGTAGGTAGAACTCCGTAGGCACAGCAGCCCCGGCCTGAGCTCCACTCCCCACTCAAGTCTTTCAGGCAGCCACCCACCCTGTTCCACAGAAAAGGAAGCAGAAGCCTGAGTGGGAAGGCAGACAGGGGCCCAGTTGCCAGACTGTGCAGTCCCAGCAGAGGACGCCCGGCGCCAGACAGCGGCCCTGGTGCAGCTTCCAGCCCAGATCTGAGGGATCAGGAGGTAGCAAGGTCCCCAGGCTTCCAGGGCCCCAGGCTCTCCTTTATATGCATAGGAAACTGCCTCTGGGATTCAAACTGGCATCTGTGAGATCATCATTGTTGCCTCCCAGAAGCTGAGACTCCAAGACAGAGGCTGGAGGGAGGAGCAATGGGGCTACTCACAGGATCCCAGGGGTGGGGCGGGCGGCCGCTGAGGTGCTGGAACTTGTGCAGGGCACGAAAGGCCTGGTGCAGGCAGTGGGCACGGTGAACTTCCTGGGAGCTCTGGGCCACCACACGGGGCTGGAGCAGGGCTGCATCCAGGGGCTTCTGCAGGGGGCACTGGGCTCAGGGACAGGTCCAGGACACTGTGGGCCCCTTGAGTCTCCCACGTTCCCCCACCTCAGAAGAATTTGCACTCACATGGCTCACAGTATTGGATCTCTTGACCTCAGTGACAGCTCCACCACGTAAGTAACGGGAGAAAGTTGCTGTGTTCCCAATCTCCAAGGTCCCATCATCTGGGGGACATCCAGCCTAGTTAGTGTGACCTCTGAACCTGAGGAGTTCCCCACACCCCGTCCTATCTTGCATCTGTGTCCTTGACGTTGCCCCACTCTGAAGAAGGCAGGGGGAGAACCTATCCCCAAAGACCCAACCAGACTGTGTCTGTCCCCAGTGGGAGCGTGGGGGCTGAGCCTGGGACTGGAGTGGAATTGGCTTACCCTGCACACGGATGCGCCGGGGAGCACAGCCGTTGAGCTCGATCATGCCCTCAATCCCCGAGAAAGTCACCAAATCCCCATCACAGAAGAAGCGGGCATCAGCCGCTTTTCTCAGAGTGAGAATGCCAGGGGAGCCCTGGATAAGAGATGGCTTGGCTCAGGGGTGGCTGTACCTGCCTTCCACAGGCTCTGGCAGCCCCTCCTCCACTCATACCTTTGCACCCACCTGGGAGATGTGCTGGATGGCAGCTGTCAGGGGTTCTTCCTCTGTAAGGTCCTGAACAGTGAAGTCCTCACCAAAGTCACAGAACAACTGCCTGGGGTGGGGTGGGGTGGGGTGGTTGGGGTCCCTGAGATGGCTCAGAGGTTAACCACCACTACTATTGTGGTGAAGGGTGGGAGACACTAGGGGCCAGAATCAGGAAAGATGCCAGGAGAGGCTTGGGAGCTGAAGTTTGAGGGAGTTACTGGAGCACATCCCGAGGGGGGATAGAGGAAGCAGAGGGGTGGAACTGGAGACCAGAGTCCAAAGGTGATGCTGAGATAGGCCAGGGGCTGGGTGCAGGGGCACTCGAGCAAGCCTGGAACTGGGGACAGCACTGGGACCAGTTGCTCTCTGAGGTGGCAGGTGTGGCAGGCGGTCTTACCCCACAAGGCCCCGGGTGTCAGCCACCAGGAAGCAGATTCGGTGCTTGTGGCATAAGGCGCCCACCTTCAGCTGCTCCTCTAGGGTCGAGGCAGTCAGCACCACCACCTGGGCAGACGTCAGGATCAGCAGGGCCAGCCCACTGCCCAGCCCACCCTGCAGCTAAGGCCGGAGAAGGGCACTCACTGGCCTGGGGGGTGGGGCTGGGGGGAACCTGGAAGTCCAGCAGCAGGTCCTCGGTGATGTCACCTATGTGGACGTGGACCTGGACATCTCCGTTGAGCTTTGCCACATGTTCTTGAGATGCCTCAGCCCTGCTCCTTGCCAAGTCCTGCTCGGAGAGGAAAAACTAGAGAGAGACCCAGTCCAGCTTGGGTCCTACTCCCTCCATGGTCTGTGAACCCGCTACCTCCCAGGACCCTCACCTGGGCAGCCAGGTCGGACCAGCAGGTGGGGTGGGGATCGTGCAGAGTGAGGCTGCCCACGCCCATCAGGACCAGGTTTTTGGCCACCTCAGCTCCCAGGCCCTGAAGGCCCGACAAGAGGACCTTACCCTCCCGAAGCCTCTGCATGGCCGGCAAGCCCAGCACATACCTGTGGATGGAAGTAAGAGGGCAGGTGAATTGGAGCTCAGAGGTCAGAAGACCACCCCCCGCCCCTCCCCACCTCGGGCCTCACAGCTGCCGAGAGTACAGCTCCTCATCCAGCAACCCGGGGGAGCCCGGGGCGTCCATCCTGAGGCCTGGGGCTGGGCAACAGGCTCCAGCGCTGGTCGAGCGGGTCCCTCCCTGCCCACAGCTGCCCAGAGAGGCCAGCGCCCAGCTGTGGCTACTGTGAGCAGGCGCTGGGCTAAGGGAGTGAACGATACTGCGGCTGACAGCTTTCCTCTTGGCTCTTCTCTCACCCCGGGAAAAGCAAAAATGAAAGTGAAACTAGACTCTGATCTGGTTCCCCGTCACCACTCGAGCTGCTGCTGGACCGCCCAGCCTGGCAAAGATCAGCCTGGCAGCCCCAGGGTGCAGGGGAGGTGGGACTGAATGCCTGGGTCTGGTTGGCAGGAAGGGGCGGGCCACGGGAGGGACCCTACCGGCTGGGCTGCATTCAGTGGCCTCCCGTGGTTCCCTAGCCGTCCCAAACCTCAGGCCCCTCTCCCTGTCGGGTGCCCCTGCCTGAGTGGGCTTCCTGCCCACGGAATGCTGGCGGGAATTCCCTGTCCTGAGACTCACCAGGCCCGCTGCTGTCCACCATACAGGGGCTAAGATGCCATAGAGGTCGGAGCCATTCCCGGCCCAGAGGCTGTGGGAGCTTATGAGGTTATGCCGCCCCACTCCAGGGCCCAAAGCACAGCCCGGGTGGGGCCTGGCATCTTTAGGAGTGCCCGCTGGGCGCTGAGCTATCTCCTCAAAGAATAAGGATCCCCCCCTGCCCGCAGCTGCCAGCCCAGAACAGATGGCAGGGTGGTAGTCCTAGGCGGCCAGTCGGGGATGGGTCCCGGGACTCAGAGAGGGTGGTCAGTCTCTGAGTGCCAGACCTGAGAGTGGGAGGCATGGGGCAGCCATGGTCACATATGACCTTATTTTTCCTTTAAATTTTTATTTTGAAATAATTATAGACTCAAAGAAAGTTGCAAAAACAGTACAGAAAGCTCCTGTGTAACTTCACCCATGGATGTGTCGTTTGCCTTCTTAGGAACTTGGAACCAGTATTCTGGAGGGTGGACCACAGCTCCCCACAAAACTCCACGTAATGAAATGACGTACCATCATCAATTATTTTTAAAAATTGAGGTAAAATACATGAAAATAACCATTCAAAGTGTACAATTCAGTGAAATTTAGTGTATTTGCAATGGTGTGCAAGCACCACCCCTCAAATTTTTTTAAAATTTATCTTTATTGTTGAAAGTATTACAGATGACCCCTTTTACCCTGAAACCGGGCCCCCTCAGAAGTTTTTATAACCCACTGAAGAACACCCCCACCACAGTAAATCATCACTACCACCTCCCTGCCAGCCCCCTGGCAAACACATTGTCTCTGGAGATCTGCCTATTCTGGATATTTCATATGAAGGGAATCGTACAGCCCTGGCCGGGTGGCTGTTGGTTGGAGCACTGTCCTGTACACCAACAGGTTGCAGGTTTGACTCCCGGTCAGGGCACATACCTAGGTTATGTGTTCCATCCCGGGTCCGAGCATGTACAAGAGGCAACCGGTCGATGCTTCTCTCTCTCAAATCAGCATAAAACAAATCCTCAGGTTGCGATTAAAAAAAAAGGAATCATACAAAATATGCTGTTTTCACCTAGCATGTTTTGGAGGTTCATTTGGTTGTAGCATGTATCAGTCCTCCTTGTTTTCTGTGGCCCAGTAATGTTCCATTATCTGCATATATCACAATTTGTTTATCCAGTCACCTGCTGGTGGACTTCTGAGTTGTTTCTGCCTGTTGGATGTTATGAATGAGTGCTGCTATGATCACGCTTGAACGTGTACTTCAGTCCCTGTTCTCAATTCTTTGGGGTATATACTTAGGAGTAAAATTACTGGGTCACGTGGTAATTCTGTTTAATTTTTTGAGGGATCAACAAAATGTTTTCCACCAGCAGTATACAAAAATTCCTATTTGTCAACATTGTGGCCAATGTTGGTTTTTCTTTTAAAAAAAAGTATACCCATCCTAGTGGGTGTAAAGTGGTAGGTGATTTTGTGTGTGTGCGTTTCAATGAACATTTTTAAAAATTATTGAAACATCAATTTGTTGTTCCACTTATTTATGCATTCATTGGTTAATTCTTTTATGTACTTTGACCAGGGTTCAAACCTGCAACCTTGGCATACTGGGATGACACCCAACTGAGCTACCCTGCCGGGGCCTGTATTTTTTTAAATATATCTTTATTGATTTCAGAGAGAGGGAGAGAAACATCAATGATGAGAATCATTGATCAGCTGCCTCCTGCACGGCCCCTACTGGGGATCAAGCCTGAAACCCGGGCATGTGCCCTGACCAGGCAGCGAACTGTGACCTCCTGGTTCACAGGTCGACACTCAACCCCTGAGCCACGCCTGCTGGGCTAGTGCAGATCCTGAAGTTAGGTAGTGTCAGTCCTGGACTCTGTTCTTCAGTATTGTGTTCGCTATTGGTCTTTTGCTTTTGCATGTAAACGTTTGAATCAGTTTGTTGATATCAACAAAATAACCTGAGATTTTTACTGGAATTTTGTTGATTCTATAGAGCAAGTTGGGAAAAACTGACATCTTTTAAAAAAATGTTTTATTTTTGTTAGAGAGTGAGGAAGGGGGCGGGGGGGAGAGAGATGGAGAGAAACATCAATCGGCTGCCTCCTGCCCACCCCCCACTGGGCATTGACTGAAACCAGGGCATATGCCCTCACCTGGAAAACCACTAGCAACCTTTTGGTGCACAGGGCAATGCTCAACCAACTGAGCCACACCAGCCAGGGCAGAACTGACATCTTGACAATGTTGTGTCTTCCTATCCATGTACCTAGAATATATCTCCATTTGTTTAGATCTTTTAAAATCTCTTTCATCAGAGTTTTAATGTTTTCCTCACATAGATCTTGTACATATTTTGTTAGATTTATACCTAAATATATCCTTTTCCCCCCCTTTTTTGTACTAATGTAAATGATAACGTATTTCTAATTTCAATCGTTCACTGCTGATACATAAGAAAGCAATTGACTTTTGTGGCTCTAGTGATAGTGAATCTCATTTTAGTTATTGTACTTTTAGTTCCAAAATATGTCAGTTTCTATGAAGTTCTTCTTCCTGTGAATGAGCCATACTCTCCTGTTTATTTATATGCTTTGCAATTTTTTTGTTAAGAACTGGATATTCTGAATAGCATGTTATGGTAACTCTGGAAATGGAATTCTCCCACACCTCAGGGATTGCTAAATTTTGCTTCTTGAGGGCTGAAGCTGTCTACTGGTGACTGTTTTTGCAAAATATGTGTTCCTTGTGTATGGTCACTGGAGTTTCTGTGCCATGATCTCTGCTGTCAGCTAACAAAGACTTTCTGGCTAAAAAAAAAAAAAAAAGGCACGGGCACTGTACTGGCCCTTTAAATCTGACAGCCGCCTGCGGTCTTCGGGCTGTGCCCAGGTTAGTCTGCGGACGAGGCTGCAGTGATTTCATTCTCGCTGGAGTCTCCGTGCCCTGTGGGAGGTGTGTGCCTAAGGGTCTGAGTGCAGGTGAAGACTTTAGAAAGTCATGCCAAACAGTTTTCCAAAGCTCAAATTTACACTCCTAGACCTGGAAGAAAACATTCTATCTTTTTTATTTTCAACATAGAAATCTCGCGCCATCCTCCACTCTGCTTGGCCCTGGCCACGCCTAATGGGACGCCGGAGGCAGGCAGAAGCTCAGGCAGGCGGAGGCGGTCTGCAAAGCCTCAGGCACTTTGGTCCATACAGTCAACGAAAGACCCTGGTCTGGAGGATTGGAAGCAGCCCAACATCTGGCCAAGGCTATGGTCAAGCCTGCAGCAAGGAGCAAGCCCTGCCGGCAAGAACAGTGAGCTGGCCACAGCTCCCACAGCTGGCCCACTGTGGCGGGGGTGGGCAAGCTGTGTGCTGGAAAAGCACATCCTCTGGGCCTCTCCCTCAGCCCCATCTTGTCCACCACTGCCCTTGAGGCTGGTCCTGGGAGAGGGGCTGTGCCCCCCAAATCCCCAGCTGAACCAGTCCTCGGCCTGTAAGTTGGAGGTGCTTATCTGGCCACTGATTGGCCTCACTGTTCTCACTACCACAGGAAGGGGGCTAGCTTAGCCTGCGAGGGAGGAAGTGCTTTCCTGGCCCCCACTTTTTGCTTAGCCTTGGCCTTGGGCTTCACCGGCAGTGGGCGGATCACAGTTGTGTCAGTCTGAAGGAGATGTCAAGGAAAAGACCTAAAGAGGGGATTGGAACTCAGGGCAGGGAAGGCTGAGAATGCAGACTCAGCAAGGTCTGGCTCTGCACAGCTGAGGCTGCAGCGCCTTGCAGGCTGGGGTTTGGGGATACAGGTGAGGGATGGTGTGGGCGCTAGAGCTCAGCTCAGCCCAGTGCCGCAGAACAAGGATACGGGCTGGATGAATTTTGTCCGGCCTCCAAGACCATCGAAGCCCGTCCTTACCTAAAGCAAAAGAAGGAGATGAGTGGACCAGGCTGATGGGCTGTGGGGGTGGAGCTGGCTGCCTAGCCCTTCTCAGGAGGGCTGGCACTTGCCATTGGCAGGAAGCCATACTCACTGCATCTGTGCTGTGACAGGGCTGTGCCCTGGCTCTCTTGGGTTGTTTCTGGCCCAGGAAAGCATTCCGGATGAAGAGAGGGAAGGCACCAGCCAGCTCCTCGTCTGGTTCTCCCACACAGTGCTGGCCACCCAGCGAGAGCTGGGACTCCTGCAGGGGAGACCCCAGAGCCAGACTGGATGAGCTGGATGGCAGCAAAGGTGGGGGTGGTAGTGGGGATGGAACAGGATCAGGACCTCTGATGCCCCTCCAGGAGGCAGAAAGGATCATGAATAGGGTTCCCAGGGCGGCTCCAAGTGCCTCAGTCCTGGGCTGGGAATGAGAGAGCTCTGGCCAGACCCTGCCCTCTCAGCAGTCCAGCTTCACATTCAGTCGGGCTAGGGCTGGATGGTGACTGACTGAGCCTCTTCGGGGAAGCCTTACCTGCTTGGAGCCTTTGGGCATCTTCTTGGGAACGTCCTGAGTGGGAGAGCTGTGAGACAAGCAGGCAAGAGGCAGGTGAGCAAGACACAGGGACAGGGTGGTCAGGCTCAGGACATATGCCCTACAGAGCCACCATGTGGCATGGCTGCTGTCGTGGCTGTGTGCTGGGCAAGGCATCTCAGCGATCCCCACTCCGAGTGCAGACCTGTGACTAGCTGGAAAGTCACAGCTGCCAGAGTGGCGAAGGCAGGGAAGGTTGGACTGTGTGCCAATCCTGTGGCTTTCACTCAGGGATAAGCTAATTTCCATGTTCCCTAAGCCCTTAGGCACCTCACCATGTCCCAGGGCTCTATGTGGGGCAGGAGAGCCCAGCTGACTCACCACCCATAGGAGGCAGATACAGGCAGACACACCTAATGAGCTCAGGCCTTGCCCTGTCTGCACGAGGAGCCACCACCTTCACAAGACCCTCAGTAAGTTAAACAGCCCATAAAATACTCTCAGAACACAGGGCTGGTCATCTCCCAGGTGATGTAGACCATCTATCTGTGCAGGCAGGGTCTGGGGCAGAAAAGGTCATGGCCCCAGGCCTGGCCTCCCATTCCCAGCTCCAGAGCTGGGTCCAGTGTTTCCATCCAATTCCTGGGGACCCTAGCAGCTGGGTACCCTCTCCTGGCATTTTCCTAGGTGGGTGGGAGAATGGTAACCTAAGGCTGATCCTGTGGCTTCTCAAAGCCACAAGGACAGGGGCAGGATCAGGGCCTGCTGACCCTCTGCTCCTGTCCCCATAGCCTGTGGGGAGGCCACATGAAGACCATGGGAAGACTCTTAACTTGCTGTAAGTATGGCTCTGGGGAGGCTGATCCAAGTTGGGGTGTCCTGGGCTCCCTCACATCCCCCACAGGCCCTGAAGATGGTAGAAATGCCTCTAAAAGGCCCAGAAGCCTGCAGGCCCCAGGTACCCACTTTCAACTTTTATAGCTAAAGAAAGGACAGGCATTGATATACCCCTGACCACAGTCCACATGCCCTAGGCTTGTTTTTCACACCCCATACAACACAGGGGCCTCTGCGCCTGTAGTCAGGGAGAGGTGGGCAGCCCAGCTGGCTTTCCCTGTTGCCCTCTCCCTGAGCCTCCTCCACTCCAGCACCCATCATCTCAACTTCTTCTCTCATGTCCAAAGTCTCTGACTAAGGGGAAACCTGCTCAGCCCTTGACTTCCCTTACCTGGGCAGCGCATACTTCCATGTACGTACAGGAATAGCTCTTGTCTCCAGAATGAACTACACTTGGCCTGCATGGCCAAGGAGACAGCCTCCCTGCTCCCAGGCCCACTGCATCCCTGGTGCAGATCCCACCCATCCCATTGCAGCTCCACACAGCTTCTCACACCTGCCCCTGTGAGCTCCCCACCTAGGTAGGGGGTGGGGGCCTGGGTTCCATGGTTTGAGAACATGAGTCTGAGAGGCACACAAAGGAAGGGGAGCTGCAGAGTCCCTGGCTCAGGACTCCGGTGGGCAGGCATTCAAAATATTGGGAGCACACAACCCCCACACACACCATCAGCCAATACTTGCACCCACTGGGACCTCTGCATTTCCTCCAACTCACACCCCAACGCTCTTGCTTTAAGGGTGAAGATTAATGAGACAAGCAAGACAAAGGCTTTGCACAGTGAGTACTCAGGAGAGAAAAGAAGAGGTGGCTGGAACCAGTCACAGTCAAGCCCAGGTGACCCTCACTGCCTCATCTACCACTCAGAGCTATTAGGGCAGGGCCTGCAGAGATCTCTTGGCTTCCCTCCCTCCGGGCTGTGCTCGGGACCACTTACTGTGCCTTCTCTGGGCAGAGCTTCTTGGCGTGGCCATGCTGACTGCCAGGGGGCCGGGCTGGGGGGGTGTCCACATCAAAGGTGGCATTGAGGTCAATGTCATCACTGAAGGCTGGCCGGCGAAGCTTCAGGCTCAGCATCTCTACAGGGGCTGGGCTAGAGGCACAGACAGACTGGTTACTCAGGATCACAGTGGCGGCCCAGGACAACAGCTCCTTGAGCATCAGTGATGGCTCCACTCCAGGGGCCTGGAGAACACAGCTGGCTCAAGGCCACCCTGCAAGGAAGCCCTAATCGCTACAGGAAAAACCGCTGGGCTTACTCCTCCACACAGTCATGGGACCAGTGAAAGTCTGGAAGACGGGAAAGGAAGCAAACAAAGCCCCACACAAAGCCCAAATGTACAAGTAGCCTCATTTCTCAGAATGCAGTGCAAGGAGCCAGAAATGTGGCCTCAGACTGATGTAAATGGATGTCCCCTTCAGTGCTACTTATGGCAAATGGCACAGTATTAGAAACTGTCAAAATGACCTCCCTCAGGGGCTGGCACTTTCGTAGCCTGACTATAACAGATATTAAAGTGGGGGTTCCAGACAGTAAACTTAATAATATGGGAAATGCTCATATATTAAGTTTAAAAAGCAATATAAAACTCTACGTATAATGGTGACAAGAGAAAAAACAGACAAATTAGACTTGACAAAAATTAAAAATTTTGTGCATTGAAAGATACTATTGCAGAGTAAAAAGGCAAACCACAGAATGGGAAAAGACATTTGCAGGTCATATCTCAGATGAGGGATTCAAATCTATAGAGAACTAAAGCTCAATGATGGGAAAACAACCTGATTCAAAAGCGGGCAAAGGCCTTGAATAGATATTTCTTCCAAGATGATATACAAATGGCCAGTTTATACACTAATTTTGGAAAACAACTATATGTATAGTGTATACACATGATTTGATGCACACACATCTTCCCCTGATCCCCCAGCCCCATGCCACATATAGAAAAAGGACTGCAAGGAAGTATACCCCATGTCAACAGTGACTACCTCTGTGATGAGTCCATATTTTCCAAATTCTCAATAATGACTGTGTTTTTACTTTGAAAATGGGGAGGTATTCTATTAGAAAATGCAGCCGATTGGATTTTTCTAACCTATCCAGGCCTGGTGGGGCTCCCCAGCTCCTATGGTCAGAGGAGAACTCTGGGGAGTGGCAGGGACACTCCCAAAACAAGTCCCCTTTCCTTCCCTCAGGGACAATCCAGGGCTACCCACAGCCCTACACCCACTGCTCGGGGACAGAGACCAGGAGGCCACTGAGGTGTGCTGATCAGAGCAAAGGGAACTGATTTGGGTGGGTAAGCATGTGGGAAGCTTGGACCATCACTTTCTTCCCCTGGCCTGGCCCCTGGAAGCTCTCCCCCTTCCTTGCCTACACATGGAATCTAAGGCTGGTAAACCCACCTCAAACCAACTCCATGCAGGTTGCTTTGCTTCCCTCTCTGGGAACCACAGCACAAAGCAGAAGCCAGAACCACTCATGCCAACTTTTTATAGTATCTGCTATCCTGCCACTGTTTATCAATGCCAGCAAGTCCAGCCCCAGGTCAGAAGAGGGGCACTCAGGCAGGCAGGGTCTGGCTGGGGCAGCCATTGTGCACTCCAGGTGTCTCATGGCAGGGCTTCCTGCTGCCATCCCCTGTGACCTTGTCCAGTGGTGTCCATGACACAGGCCCACCCTTGGCTCAAGCCAAGGCAGTCTTTTTCATTTGCACCTCCTGGCCACCCACCCACAGCACTAAATTCAAGCTCCAGAAGGTTTTCACAGCGCCCCCCCTCACTCCCCCACACCCGCTTCTGGCTCATGTGGACACAGTTCTTGTTCCCTCAGACCATTCCCAGTACACCCTTGTTTTATGAAGCTCAAACTCTGCTTCCCTGCTGCCAAGGGTCTTTCCTTCCTTCCCACCTCTGTCTGTACAAGGAGGGAGAGGGTGGAGCCCAGCAGCCTTCCATTGCAGGCTGAGGTGCTGGCTCGAGGCCCTCCTGGGTGACACCATCACCTTTAGAACACTCACCCCGGCCTATGTACAGACAGGGCTTTGCGCCAGAGGCCTCAGGAGGTGGAGCAAGACACTCGAAGCTGCCTTTCCGAAACAGGATGAAGGCCCCGGGCAGATCCATCCCGTGTGGCCTGCGAACAGTCGGTGTCTCCTCCATGAACTTGTGGCGCCTGGAGGGCCTTCCCTAAGCAAAGGCCTCCCTAGCTCCCTTCAGTCTGGAGGTCAGGGGCCCTTGGGGTCCTTGAGAGAGGTCTTCCAAATACCCCCTCTGCAGTTGGGGGTGATAGCTACCTCCTGAGGCCACCCTAAAATGACAGGAGTGAAGGATAATCCTACTGAAACAAATGAATGGGCAACCACGATCAGTACCCATAGATTTCCCCCAAATTCTGGGAGACCATGGCCAGGGGACAGCAGATAAGAGCCTACAGGAGAGGCCTACGAATGAAGCGAGGATGAGAGAATCTAGAATCGCAGAACATTAAACAGGGCTGAAAACTGGGGTGCTGATGGAAGGTGGGGCTTGGCTCTACCCCATCCTAAATCTGAACTGGCTGAACACATGGCAGCTGGGCTGCTACCCCGGGCCAAGAAATGGGGGGACCTTTCCCAGACATCAATCAAACCATCTACAGTGACTCAGAGCAGCCAGTATTGGAAGGGACAGAAAAGCCCCCTGCATCCTAGGCTCAGGTAAGACTCAGCACGGGGCCAGCTCACTGCATACTCCCCCCAAACCCTGCCCAATGGGTTGGGTTCCCAGGAAGCCTTTCTGTAGTTCCCCCTCAGAGACCACAGGCAACCAAGAAACCCCAGGAATGGAGGGAAGTTCAAGAGAAAGGTCATGGTTTATACACGCAGATGCCAAGAGAAACAAAACTACTAAACCAGAAAACAAGGAATAGCATAGTTCACAAAGGAAGCACTCAGAGAGCAAGAAAGAATTCTTGCAAATTTAAAACGCAATTGCTGATTCAGCCTTAGAATGGAAGGAAATTCTGACACAGGCTACAGCATGGATGAACCCACCCCTGGAGTGGAGGGTAGAGGAAGCGCCGTGGAGCTCCACCTAGCAGCCTCCAGTGACATCACAGGAAAAGGATTATTTCCCCTTGAGGGAGCCTGGGCTCTAAAGGCTGGTCCACATGAGATGGTCTCTGAGGCCACCAGCTCCCTGAGGGTGAGCGCTGTGACCGCAGAGCTGACACAGCCCTTGAGTTGCCTGGGGCTTCCAAGGTGGCCTGGCCAACTGGCTCTGACAGGAACAGAAGCAGAGTCCAGTGTGTCAAAGCCGACCTCATACTGGACCTCACAGCCAGCCATGTGCCCACTGCCCCCAAGCCCTTTCCCAGGCCAACCCCAACTCTGGGGGCCAAGCAGGCAGCTCTGGCTCCACGAAGAGACGCTGGAGGGCTTTGAGGTAAGAAAGAAGTAAGCCTGAGGAACGAGAGGCACGGGGATGACAGGAAACTGCCTCATGTGCATTCACTCCCCCGAGCAGATGCTGACCAGGCTCCGTGGGAAAAGGAGTGTGCGTGGCAGGAAGCTGGTCGGGGGATGCAGAGTAGGATGTGGCTCCTGGTCTACTCGCAGCTGCAGGTGTGTGTACTGGGTGGACTGGGCGCCACAAGACTCTAGAGCACCCCTGTGGCCATGGTCTCTAAATCAGAAGTGCTACCTACGCAGAGGGTGAGCTTATCGCTGAGGAGACTGGGAGACTCTGTAGGGCAGCTGAGCCCAGTGTGGAGAAGAGCTGATGCACAGAAAAGCACAGAAGCAGAAGGGCAAGGGGTTTTCCTTGATAGTATGATTTGGCTGCAGCCTGAAGACCCACCGCAGTCCACAGGCTGGTTCCTTGAGTGCTGTAGGCTCAGTGCCAAGGACTCTGCGAGGTGTTCGGTGGGGAAGGAGTAGCACGATGCCTAGGGGCTGCTACTGCTAGGCTGATAGGATGAGTGAGAGGATGGGCCACAGGCCATATGGGGAGGTGGTAGCAGGGAAAGGGGCAGGAGGCACCAGAAGTTAAATGGGCAGGCTCCAACAACTGACTAGATGTGGGGAAGAGGGATCGATCTGCCAAAGGACACTGAAAGTGGCTCAAATGAAAGGCCAGGTCACTGCCTTGTGCGCTTTCTGTCTGGGCCCTTAGCTGGGCATCCAGGAGGAGAGAGCCCTGAGGATGTCCTCCACCAGTGGGCTTCTGTGAAACACTCAGGAGGACCTGGCTGCCACCCCTGGCAGGAACAAGCATCCCTCTGTCTCATGGCTCCCTCTGCTGGCTGCGTCACTGCACACAACCCAGGACTAGAGGGGAATTCTCTTAGTGAATGGTTTCCTGTTTGTTTCAGAATTCAGGGCAGACAGATGAATCTGGTGAGCCACCCCATAAACAGGCTGCCCGGAAACAGTCAGTGCTCCTGCCCCTTCTCTGACCATCCTCAGGTCCTCTCTGGCCTGCCCTGGCTTCTGGTCTGAGCCCAGAACTCACCTCAGAGCTGCTTTGTAGCTAAATCTTGGCTGTCTCCCAGGGCAGGAGGCCCACAGCCTTCACATTCACAGGGACCACCCACTCCACCAGAGCCAGGAGGAGTGAAGACCCTTACCAGGGAGCTCTGAAACACCCCAGAGGGTCAACCAACCTCTCTAAAACCAGGCGGTTCATAGTCTCGCTGTCCACCGGTGGCAAGTTCAGGGTTTCCTGCAGCATCTTTAGCTTTTTTTTCAGGCTCTTGGGGAAGGAGAGAGAAAAGTGTGAAAGAAAGGCTGAGGCATCAAGTCCAGACAGACCTCCAAAGATGTGAGCAACATGCAGAAGGGCAGGCCCAGTGGGAACAGAGCGAGACCTGAAGCCCCATCATCAGGCTCCAGAGGCCACGACCTCCTGGCCCCCAAACCCCTTTGGCAAAACTCTTTCTGGTGGTCTCGGGGCTGTAGGGACAAAACAGACTTTGAAGGGCGACCCATGGTGCTGTCTTCCCAGGCTCTAGACCAAGGTCAAGGTGCACATCCTGACCCGCCCTGACCCAGGAGGATGCAGGGAAACCAGAACCACCACCACCAGCTGATGCACAGGTTCCCAGGCACAGCTAGCCCAGCTCTGCTCTTGGAGGGCACACAAACCACCCCTCATTCCCATTCGGTTAGGGCTGACCCTCACCATGATTTCCTTATCAGCACTCTGTAAGTCCTTCTGGGCCGACCTCAGCTCCAACTTGGCCTGGTCCAGTTCAGAGTAGACTGTCTGCAACTACAATAAAGTTCAGAGAGTAAAGAATGAACCAAGAGTTCACCAGATCGATTCCCAGTCAGGCCACATGCCCAGGTTGCAGGCTAGATCCCCAATCCCCAGCAGAGGGCATGCGGGAGGAAGCCAATCAACGTTTCTCTCTCATTGCTGGTTTTATCTCTCTCGCCCTCTCCCTTCCTCTAAAATAAAAAATATTAAAAAAATTAAAATGAGCCAAGGGGTGGCCATGTGCTCTGCCACCACCTGCTGCTACCCAGCACCTGCTCATGGTAGACCAGGGTCCAGAAGAATGTGGGGACACATTAGGGAGACCCTAGCTCTATGGGGCAGTCCAGCAATGTCCTTCTGGAGCTGCCCAGGAACAACAGCTGTTCCTATATCCTGCAGCCAATGGATGCACCAGGCCCAGAAATAAAAGCAGTTGTGCTCACTGAATCAGGTTCCAAGGGCCCTCCTTCTCTGGGCCTGGTGCAAAAACAGACCTCTGAAGCTTTCGCATTTGGGACTTGTGCTCTCCAGCCAGCTGAGAAGTGTCCAGAAGCCAGGAAGAGCAGAGGGAGCATAAGTATGAACATGTTAGATTACCTGCATGACCTGCTACCCTAAATAGACAAGCCGCATCACCAGAGCTAATGCCAGTGAGGACCAGTAGCCAGTCTCTGTGAGTCATCCAACAGCCCCCTGGTATATCAGCTGCACAATCAGGCCAGAGCCAGAGCCAATGCCAGTGAGGCCCAGTAACCAGTCTCTGTGAGTCATCCAACAGCCCCATGGATCAGCTGTATCATCAGGCCCCATGGCCTTGCTCAGGGGACATGAAAGAACGTGAGAAAAGGGCAGCCACCTCTCCCTTCACCCTCCGCTCCCCACTGTTACCTTGCTTCTGGAAGAAAACAAGTCCTTCTTCAGCTTCTCAGCTAGCTCGCCTGAGGCCTTCCGTGCCTCTTTCAGATTCTCATACTCTCTACACAGGGGCCAAAGAGAGATATATCAGAACGGGATACCTGCTGGTTGGACTAAGCACCAACCAGACACAAAGCCCAGCCCAACCCCTCACCTGCTCTCATTCCTACTCTGACACCTGAGCTCAAAGGGCAGCGCTGTGGAGGGTGCTACATTCAATGCAAGGAGAGCTGGCCAGTCTGCTCTCTGCCTGGGCTGCAGGCACTGGTGATTTGAGAGCATGCTTAGGAAGCCCTGGCCTCACTCAGGAGGCCCCCTACACCACCTGCCCTCCACAGGGAGCATCTGGGATCCTCTGTGCCTGTCAGTCAAATGGCACTTTCTCCAACCTCTTACCCACAGTACTGGAGAATCTGAGCAACATTTCTGCTGTAAGCCAGGCAGGTCAATAACAGTGCTGATGTGAAACAGGCTGCAGATATCACGAGGGGGTTACAGCTCAGAGCTGTGCTAACCTCCTTAGAAATAACGCTTATAATCACTCAATTCTCTCTACAACCCTATGAGGCCAGTTATTACCATCTCCATTTATAAGCTGAGGGTCAGAGGCTAAGAAACTGGCTCCCCACCACATGGTGAGAGGTGGGATCAGGGTTCAAACCAAGGCAGCAGGGCTCCAGAGCTTGCCCCTTAACTCCACCAGCACTGCCTTGTGAGAGGGGGGCAGCAGATGGAGAGGCATGGCTGGGGTGCCATGGCTTAGATCCTGGGCTTGGAAAGAGGGGCCAGAGTACACACTTCTTAAGGGATACGCAGTACACAGCCAGCTGCTCCACCGCTGACTGGCCCACACCCATGTCTCGGATCATCTCCTCCACCTCGGGCCGCTGGCTCTTGAGTAGGAGTTCAATCCTGAAAAACACCCGGCCCACAGCATTTAAAATCCGGAGGCTGATGGGTAGGTACCCAGTGCAGCTCTGCCTCCCTGTGCTGCTGTTACTATGGCAACAGCCTAGGCTGCTAGGATGCTTTAGCAGGCGGTTCTGCTCAAAGAAGGCCCCATAGCAGAGCTGAGCACAGCTCCAGGGATGCTTCTGAGGAAGAAGGGGTGCTCGCAGTGGTCAAGGTCAGGGATCCCAGAGAGAGGTTCTTGGGGCAAAAGACCTGTCAGGCTGCCTGCCATAGGCAACGTGTATAGGGAAGAGTGCAGCAAGGGTCCCCATGGAAGTAGAGGAGCTCACAGGGGCAGAGCAGAGACCTGTGCCCACGCCCAGCTGGCCCGAGCCCCCCCACAGCCTGTGGAGATTAGAGCCACAGAGGTGACCCAACTCCTGCTCCAGTCCTGTGAGTTGTGCCACCTGGGGTCCCTGGGAGCAAGGGTGCAGGGCAGGCCCCAGTTCCAAGCTCACCGCTCCATGGTCTGCATTTTGCTCCTAAGTCGGCGGGCCTCGTCCCGTGCTTGTTTGGCTTCATCCTGCTGCTGCTCCAGGAACTTCATCTGCTTCTGAAGAGCAAAGACACGCAAATACATGCACCTGTTGCTTGGAGGCTCCGAGGGACCATGGCTAAAGTCATTGGGGAAACTCTACCCCAAAACTTTCTGCTTTTGAAAATGCTGAAAACCACGTGTCCCCCAGCCCCCAGGAGGTAAGGCTCCTGGGCTCCACTCTAGCTTGTGCTTTTTCTGCTAAGAGGCACTAGGCCAGCAGCTTCCTCACCTCCCTGCTTGCTTCCTCCTGAGATATGTCTTCCCATAGGTACAGTCTGCTGCCAGCACCCACAGGCCCGTTGTGGGCCACCCCACGCCTGGGCCTTGTGGTGCATGTTGTGCAGTCCAGGCCTCACTGTCCACCACCTAGACCTATGGACAGCTGCCAGGATGGCAGAACTGAGCCAGAGGCAGCTAGCCAGCTGCCCTGGGCATAGGACTACTCCATCTCTGGCGATGCCATCGGACTCCTGCTCTGCAGCCAGGTGCTGCTTTGCTCCTTCCCTTCCACTGGCCAGGCCACGTGATCCACACCAGCCACCAAGCAGGAGCGGAGACACTGAACACCCTGGGGCCCTATCTGTTCACAAGGATGCTTCCTTTCCCCTTTGCAGTGGCATCCAGCAACGACTGCTGCTTGCTACGAGGCCAGAATATCAATTGTGGGCTCAGATCAATCGCCTCCTGCCCCTTAGAGAGCAAGAGGCTCATCCCGAATTCATCTGGGTCTAGAATGGCTGGCTCTGCAGGCTTTGATCTGCCCAGTCAGCTCAGCACAGGAACTTCAAAGGCCTCTGCTCCTCCCTGGGATGCTGTTTGATCTGGCTCCAGAGAGCAGCCCAGCCAAGGACCGGAGTGCGGATGGAAGCTTCTTCAGTGGAGTACAATCCACTTTTGAAACATGGCCTAGCCTCACCATGGTCTTGGCTAAGCGGCCCCTCCATGAAGTACCGGGAAGGCCTTACCTCTTCACACCACCTAATACAATATTTATAAGTGTGGCCAATATGGCCCTTTTCTTATGGGCTGGATGGGTACAGAGGGGAGGACCGGGAAGAAGGGATTTGCCTCCGTTTTAAAACTGCACACACCAAACTGCTGACCAAGGCAGAACCAGAAGTTAAGCCCCGAGTGGTGAGCCCAGGACTGCGGCTGCATCTCCCCACCAACCTGTGCCCCAGGACCTGGGGACGCACCTTGAGGGTGGAGGACAGCATGTCAGCTTCATCCAAGGCCTTCTGTAGAGACTCCACAGTGGCGTTGCGTTCCTCCAGTGTGTCCCGCAGAGTGTCGATGATGGCCTGGCTGTCACGTTTCTCCCTCTCTGGAGCAAGGAAGGGGTGGGTGGGGAGAGGCCCACTCACCTATCAGCATGAGAACCTGGGCTTTGGGGCTCCAGCACCCCACCCCAGAGACAAGTGAGGAACAAGTCCCAGGCCAGCAAGCTAGGCGGCAGGCTTCCCTCTGGCACACACCAACCCAGGGAAGCCAGCTAGAGTCTCTTCATTCAGGGGATGAAACCCTTTTTCTGCTGCCTGGGGTTACTTGAGCAAAGATTTCACTGTTCCCTGCTCCCATGGGTCTAGTAAATTCATCATCTGGGAAGTCACACAGGTTCCTGCCAAACTCTGTGGCCGAAACCTCTCCTACAAATACTCTGGTGCATCAGGTAGCCCCCTCCCAGCCTGAGGCCTGGGCAAGAAGCCTCCAACAAAGAGAAGAGGGTCACCTGGTCTAGGTGGGTAGCTCCAGTCACCCCCTTTCCTCTCCTTTTCTGCCAGTCACAGGAGCTGGCAAGACTCTTGGACACAAAGCAGGGAGAGTACCTGGCTCCACCAGAAGGTTGGAGGCCTTCTTCCCAGGGCCTTTCCTACCAGCACCCAAGTCAGAGGCTTCCCATGTCCCTTGTCCCTTGCTAACTCACCTTTCTGAGAGAGCTGGGCTCTGACATTATCCAGTTCATTCTGTAAGGCAATATGTACAATAAGCAGCAGCAAGGTATCAGCGGGCCTCCACCTGGCCTCCCATAAGGCTGTGGGAGCCCCAGGAGGAGAGAATGAAGCCTGTCGATCTAGGGAGGCACGGACTCTGCTGTACCTCAAGGCCAGGCCAAGCCAACAATGGAGAGATAAGCCGTGCTTTATCTCTGTGTGCCTTTTTAAGAAGTAGCTAAGATGGGGAAAAATAATCTCAGGTATAAGACCCCAAGACAGGGAAAGAGGCAAAAGAGAGGTGAGAGAAGCAAGGTTGGGTCTGTGTGATCAGCCCTATAGTAGAGGCTTCCATTGCTTCCTTGGCGCTGGGCTAGCCCTTACCCTCTCTGGGAGTCAGCTGCACTCACTGGGGACACAAAGTTGGCATAGCCAACGACCTTGGGCCACCACTCCTTCCCTCCACCCTGGGGTCCTGCCTGCTTCACAGTCTACCTCTCTTCCCAGCTCCAAGCTGGCTCTATGTACACAGATCTCCCAGCCCCAGAATCTAATATGATCAGTGAGCCAGGACAACTGTGAGCCACTGAATGAAACCACATACATGCTAGATTCTAACCAGACTGCTGTGAGTCTCTCGAAGCTTGTGTATACAGTCCAGAGCCACTGCTCAGAACCACTGAGGCTGGGGCAGAACTGAGCCCAGCTCCCATGCAGGAGTCCAGGGCATTCAACAACCCTGTGGGCAAGAGAGGTGTCTACTCCATAAGCAGGAAAACCAGGCTCTACAGAACCCAAAGGCTTGGCCAAAGGTCCATGGTGGTAGCTGGATGGAATCCAGGCAAGTCCTCCTCCAGATCCACCTTCCCAGGTCAACACAGACTCAGGCCCCACATCTGACCGACACTAAGGCCCAGCCCCAATAGGTAGATATGCCCCATGGGGTCAAACTCTCCACTCAGGACTCTGGGGGCAGGTGCTTTCGGTAGCTGGGCTGGTCAGTGTAGGCTGGACATCTGGAGGTGGAAGTGGTGGTTGAGAAGGATGCGCAGGGGCTGCCTGAGAAGAAAAACTACCCCTAGTCTCCTGGCTCCTGCCACACCCAAGCAGGATGCCTTCCAAGTCCTTGGTCCAAACTACTCAAGATGCTGCCTCCCTGCCTCCTAATCTAGCTTTGGAAGCCGAAAAGAAATGAAGCTGCCTTTGTTGCTGTATCACAGGGGGAACACAGCTGAAAACTGGGAGCAGTTACCATGACGATGAGCATGCTGGCTTTAAGCACAAAAGCTCCTCATTTCAAGCAGTGAGGTTCCAAGGACATCATGGCACCCTGGAGCCAGGGCCAAATGAACACTGATCTGACACATGCCCCGCAAATTAACCCTCAGAGTCCAGGTTCACTTGTGAACCCCAATCCCACTTCCTCAAGAGGTTTCTTGTACATAAAGAGGTAAGTCTTAGACTTAGGGGAAAAGCAGTAGAAGTGTAGGAGGGATCACACCCTCCTCTCCTGCCATGTGAGTTTATGCCCTGGCTGCTCATGTTGATACCAGGGGTTCGGCTCTCTATTCCTGGCCTGGGAAAGACATGGTACCTGGTATATACCAAGCCACCCGGGGCAGTTATGAGACACAGCCAGGTTTGTAAACAGAGAGTTTTCCCTGACTGAGAACTAGAAGAGTTTTCTAATCTGTCCCTAACCATGCAAGCAGCAAAGTGGGCTGGGGAAGACGGTTGTAGATCCTTTGCAAGGTCGGGGGGCCTTGGGAGAGGGACTCCGACCCCGGGTTGGAATTGCTCTGGAATCCTAAAGGGAGGGCTCAACAGTGTGTTTCTCCAGTGACTGTCTCATCTTCACCTGTCCTCTGTTCTCCTTGCCTCTGCCTTGGAATCTCTACAGTCTCCCCTCAAGAGCTCCACCTCCATGCTCTAGGTACTCTCCCTGGTTGGGGGCAGAAAGAACTCTCAGAGGGCTTGGGTTCAGTAGAATGGAATAAATTCTGGGTACCTTTAAGAATTCTGCATCTAAGACACCCTCCTCCTCCTGGGCAAGGTCAAAGAAGAGCTTATTGATAATGGATCTTCTGCCAACCTGGGTGAGAGAAGGAGGAAGAGCATGACTGTGTAGCTGGTCATGGGCAAGGCGGCCAGGGTGTGCACGCAGCCTAACGTGCGGCCAGGCCTGCTCTCAGGCCTAACCTTCACACTGCGTCCCTTGGAGTCAGGCGACTTCTCAACCCTGCAGGTACCCCAAGCTGGTGCCACAGGCTTGGTGGTTGCAGACCCATAAGGTGACTACTCGAAAGACACCCCAACTCTAGGTACTGGGCATTGAGAAAATGGGGAAAGGGAGGGAAAGGGGCCAAATCTCCCCAAGTGAAGACCGACCCAGGCAGTGAATGCATTTGCAGCTACCCATGGGCATAGCAGGTCTCCCAAGCCACTGAGAAGCACAAGTGAGGCTCAACTAGCCTCCAGCCCTAAGGGTCCAAAAGGGTCAAAGATACCAGCTTCAGAGACCTTTCCTCATTCCTGCTCCCTGGCAAGGAGGAGATGTCTTCAGCTTTTCCACCCACCACCCTCACCTGGATTCGGCACTGTGGGCAGGTCCGACTCGGCGCTGTATCAAACCACTGGATTAGGCTGGAATGAGAAGCAGAAAAACAGGCTCATGAGCCACTGCTTGGCTGGAGACAAAAGGGTCTGTCCTGCTCCTTCGTGACCCAATGCCTGCCCATAGGAGGGCAGCATCACCGGCGGTGACAGCACATCCCACAGGGCCTGCAGGTACAAGCACTCTGACCACATGGCCCTCTTTTTGACCCTGTTGGCTTGGCCCTCCCTACCCCTGAGCTGCTCTTTTGTGAACCGTCTAGGCTTCGACT